TATTTAATATAATGTTTGCCCATGGTAGATGAACAATTTTTATTGTTATTGATGCACATGTAATATAAAACAAAGATTCATGAAAATATATTAAATGTAACCATTTCTATTGTGAAAAGAATTGGAATGTTCATTTCTACCATTACTTAAAACTTTTCTGGTCCTATTTATCAGTAGATCAGTTGGTGTTTTGGGAAGTTCAAATGAATTGTAGCTACTATTGATTGCTGTGACACAGTAGAATGGAATGCATGACATATCATTTTATGAATCAGATTTCTGTATGATCACAGAGAAATGTTTATATAGTTCCTCTGCCTGCTGAGAACCCATCAACTGCTAAGAGTTATAATAAGAAAAATAAATTTATTTCTTAGAAATTCTGAAACAGTTGAATGTGATCTGTAGAAATTTTTTCTTATTGGATACTCTTCATTTATACCGGCATAGCAAGTTTCCCAATAGTTTTTATTCTTTATTTATGATGCTTTTTCTGCCTTTACCTCATGCTGCATTACAAGTAATCTTGTTTTGAAATGCAGTATGACAAGGAGCCATGAGACCAGACCCTTGAAGTAGTCCTTTCCAGGAAGAAATCAGAACTCCTGTGAGGGGATCAGGACCTCATGTAAAGTTGTCAGAGCTGAAAATGTTATCTGGAGAAAACAAAATGCTTAAAAAGAGATGGGAGAGATAATCCAGGAGGGAACATGCATAATGGAGAGAGGAGCACAAGACTATAGCTGATTTATTGCCCAAAAGTTAACATGAAGAGATCCCAGAGAAAGGCCTAGATATAAATAAGCTTTGCCATAAGAATCAGAAAAATAAAAACTAGCCATGACAGCTGTGCAGCTTTATTCAATAAATATAGTATAAAATCATACAAGTATAGAGTTAACCTCTCAAGATTAAAACAGTTAAACATTTCAGTGGAGAAGGTTGCAGATTGAGATTCTATCAATAGAACCTCACATAGGAAATAAATCCAGGCTAAACAAATCATAACCTATGCTCTTTCTTCCTGAGAGCTTCTCCCTGATTCTGTCTATTGTCTTTCCATAAGGTTCCTCTAGCGAGGACTGGGCACAATACCTCTGTCCAGGGCTGTTACATAAAACTGCTCAGAGTCATGAGATCTATCATATCTTCTGCTTCAAGCATCATCACCTTTTCCTGTCACAGGTTCTCACTGTCTCCGTTTCTTCTTCCTCAATGGTATGCAATTGTAGGTTTGAGGAAAAATTATGAGCTACCATCTTTTAATAAAAAGGTGGCATTGATAGCTTTGAATGTGAACGCTTTCTCAGGGATCCAAGCTTTTTATTTTGGACATCTTTTTTCCCACAAATCAGAAAGAATCAGCCATCTTATCCCTAGTTTCTAATGCTTAATGCATCTTATAGGATTACCTCACAAAGTTCAATATACTTGAGTAGCAGCCTCCACAAATAGTAGATAAACTGTCAATCATGGTTGGAAGTCAGGTTCCTTAGACTTTGGTAGAGATATTTTACAAAGCGTATGGCAGAAGTTGACATAATGGTTGGAGTATGCTAGATTTTATGGGTGTTAACCACAAGTAGAATTAGTCTTGCCCATGGGATGGGGGAAAAGTTGAAGATTAAATTCACGATGATGGTATTTCAAGAACATTCAAGGTAGAGGAGGGTTTGAGAGATGCTCAGAACATAGGTATTATAGGTGTTACTTCTGGGGTAGCACTATCTGGAGGAAAAGATACTTAAACTGAAATCTGAAGAATAAATAGGAGTTAACCAGATTAAAGGGATGGTGGGAAATTTGAGATGGATAGAGGACATTCCAGGCAGAGTGTGTTCACAGGTTGAGAAGTCTGTGGCATGTCTGGCAGAACTGCAAGTTATCGGTATGGCTGGGTTACAGTACTGAATGGAAGATATGCAGAGATGAGGATAGCAACATAAACAAGGTGATATTGTGAAAATAACCCGTGAAAAGATTTGAAGGGTTATGTAAAGAGATTTAGAGTTCATTTGAAAGCAGTGGGGACTCCTTGAGGCTGTTAACCAAGAAAGTTTTGTAATCAGAGAGATGTTTGGAAAGATTCCTCTGTTGTGTAGAGAATAGTGTGGAAACCTACAAGGACAAAGGGCCCGGGGAGTGGTCAGGAAGATCTTAGAGAAATACAGGCAAAAAGAATGGTGACCTGAACTTGATCAGTGTCTTGGTTATCTATTGTTGCATAACAATTCCCCCTCCTCTGCAAATAAAACAAAATAACAGTGGATAAAACAGCAACATAAAATAGCAAATGATTACAGTTGCGGTCAGTAAGGAATTTGCAATGGGAACAGGGGGATAAAATGCTTGCATGGCTCACTGAACCCTCTGTCTGGGGGTTTGCTCTTACTGCTGGGGCAGGAATGTCCAAAAAATATCTCCTTACTTGACTTCCTTACATTTATATGCACAAGGAAGAATGACCATCTTCTTTAATCTGCATTCTCATAGTATACATCCTTTTATTATAGAACTCATCTTATTGATTGCATTTTATATATAGAATGATATGTGTAAATCAAATATTACTATGCTGTTTCCCCTTTATCATTGTTAATATAGTATCTAAAAGTTATTCGATATATATTTTGCTTCAATTGAATTTGAAAGTTACAAAATAAAGAGGTGGAATGATTTTTATGTAAATATTTCAGTATCCAACAATAACAATTAAATTGGCCTCATTGTTTAATTGTAATCAGGATATCAGTCTAGTATACTACAGAGGTAAAATCTCTCAATCTTTTCATATATAAAAACTAATGTTCTTTTGATAACAAGTGATAAGAAGATTCTCCAGCATCAATGTGCCAATCTAGGGAAGTCAAATTTTATGCTTAATTATCAAAGCAACTGAATTTGTCCCTGTTAATATTTATTGTTTCTTTTAATGACCTCGATTCTACCTTTTTATTTATTTTAATGAACCATATGGTAAATATACCCTAACTCATGTGTCTTTTGGAAGGATGTGAGATATAAGAAGTAAATATATGAATAAACCCATATGAATGTTTATATCATCAGCTAGAGAGATATTTATGCCTCTTAACATCAAAAAGTTTATTTTTTAGTTGATTTATTAAGGGAACACCGTTTGTAGCTCCTTTCCACACATTTGCCTTCATTTAGTGGTCTAGAATAGAAAGATTGTAACACAGCAATGCAATTTTTAATGACATTAAATGTGGTGGCTTGGCAAGCAACTATAAGAATAGAGAAACTACGTGAATGAGGCTAAAAAATTTAGCCTCAAAAGAGAAAGCTAGATTCAAGCAGGAATGAAATGCAGATTAAGACATCTGGAGAGAGGTATTAAATGCAGACATTCAGGAGGCAGGTAAAAGCATAAAGGCTCTGAGAAAGCAATGCTGAGGTAATAGCACATCAACTATTTCATTATGTAGTGGCAACATAATGACTAATTCACTTTGTGTCTCCAATTTTGAATCCCTCTACAGAAAAGTAATAGATTATGTTTCTCTTAGAAGAACTTTAGTATTCCAGAAGCTTCAATGGAATGCCACATAATTACCAGAATGAGGAAACTGCCTAGTATTATGTTACAAGGTCTCCACCTTGCTTCTCCCATTTATTTCACACTAAGGTCTCTATCAAGGGAGACACTAATGTGATGAATAAGAAAAGCATTCATTTATAGAGTCACACAGAACTCAACGACCTTCATTAACTTTGGGATTCTCATTCTCTATGTATTTATAAACATCACATTGTAAGATAAGTATTGTTTTTATGTCCCACACTTGATTATAAAGGGAGGACTGACTGTCCCATATTAATTTTATAAACTTTATTATTGTGAAATTTTTGAAACACATATAAAAGCATAGAAAATTAATTTGAAGGACTTTCATGTACTTATTATCTAGCTTATGAACTCGTCCAATCTTGTTTCTTCTATATACTCACTTAGTCCTCTCACATTCTAGGTAATGTTGAAGTATATCCCATATATCTGAATAGTATACAGAGCTAAAAGATATATATTTATATACTACACACACACACACACACACACACACACACACACACACATACACACACTCCTAACAGCATTACAACTATATCATTACCATTCCTAAAACATTATCAATACTTCCTTAATAGCATTATATTCATATTTATATCTTCAATGCCCAGCCTGATCCGTACATAGTAGTGCTCAGTGAATGTCTATATGAATGGATGAGTGAAACTTATTCCCACTATTCAACTTGTTGATTCAAGAACAAAATATCATTACTTCCAGTTATTGCTACTCCTCTTTATCTCTCAAAACCATTCCCAAGGGTCTCTTTTTTGTGTGTGAAAATGCCATAATATTCCTAAGTAAAACTTATTAGTTCTAACTTCATTCCACCCCTGTAAATTCTGAATGTTTTGAGCACTGACAGTGTACTAGGAACGGTGCTAAATGTTTAACATAGATAAATATGTTTCAGATTCAGTTTGATTCTAAAGTTTATGCTTTTTGACATTTTAATTTATCTTTGTACTGAACTTACTAGCAAAGTACCTAATACCTAGTAGAAACTCAAAAAAAGTCTTGAAGGAGGAAAGAATAAAAGAAGCAAGAGAGGGAGGGAGGAAGGAAAGAAGGAAAGGAAGGGAGATGAAATAGAAAGGGGGAAAAAAGAAAGAAAGGAAGGAAGAAAAGAAGGAAAGAAGGAAGAAAAGAAGGAGAGAAAGAAGGAAGAAGAAATGTAAGGGAGGGAAGGAAGGAGGAAGGTGTGTGTTATTGAAACTGCCTGAGACAGTTATACAGCTCTATATAGTTTCAAAAATGTGTTTTCATTCATTTTATTTGATTTTCTTAATACCCTTTGGGGTAGATATGACGCCATCTTGAATATCTAGAGAGATGTTGAGATTTGTTGAAACTGGCAGAACTGGCTCTGCATCCACAGTCTTCTGACTTCACATCTTATTTTTTTCAGAAACTGAAAAGTCAAGAATATCTGTCTATTGATATGACTGGGATCCCATCGGAAAGAACTATGTGGCTCTTGTCCAGAATATAATGCTTTAGATCAGGGGTCCTGCAAAGCTTTTTGAAGAGAAGCGGAATGGTTGAGCAATTGAAGCCTCAGAATGACCAAGATTGATGGTTTGGTACAAGGTGGTGGGAGAGTGTCTACAGTTGGGGAGACCATAAATGTGATGTGGAGAATGTAGAGGTGGGGTATCGACTAGACAGCATTCAACCTCACCTCTCTCCTTTGCATTCTGTAAGCTGCCTAAAACCATGGCCCTGGAATCAGTCATAAAAATACTGCCAGCAAAAAACTACCTCTTACAAGGTGGTCTCAGTTGCAAGGTGGTTCCATGTGGTAATTTATTATGTCTAAGCTATGACCCATCTAATGTAACACCCCAGCCTCACCCTGTAAATCTCTCTAAGAGCTCTCTTTGATTCTTTATAGCTTTTGCCACACTTTGTACTCAATATTTAAACAGTTTCCATTAATTGTCACCACAATTAGATGATAAACTCCACATGACAAGAACCACATCTGTTTTGTTTATCACCATATATATCACACATACTAGTTCCTGAAACATAATAATTATGTAATAAATATATGATGACTAAATGAATGAATGAGTGAATGACTAAAGCATGTGCCATTTTTTTTGTAACTTAGAGAGTATTAATACCACTTCTCAAAGTGTGAAAATGTGACTATATGAACATGTTGCACTTACAATTGTCCATTTTCAGTTACTTGACTATTTACTGCATATTGACTTTGTGTATTATTTTATATTTTATTTTTATAACTTAGGTATAAATTAATATTAGAGTAAATATTAATTAAGGAAGAAGTAGAGGAATATAAAAGCAGCCCAAGGGGCAACTGCACATAAGAAATGTAGATTATTATTCTTAGTCATAAAACTTCTGAAGAAATCTTAGAACCTATGTAATCCAATTCTTCTTTTTCCATCATTTTAGAAATTAAGCTAAAGGTTTTACACAAGATCACAGTTAAGGTAGTGAAATGGACCTGATTGAGGGTTCTTCCCTTTTAACCTGGTAACTTTCCCTTAATTCGTCCTGCCTCACGTTGTCACAATCAATTCAGCTTTAAAATTTCTTGGTTTATGGTCGCTGAAAATTTAACAATATATTTCCAAGTGTAACATTTAACCTAACCTCACTTTTCCAGACAAGTATTCAATGCAAGTTCCAACTCAGTAAAGGAGGTAAAACATGAGCGTTTCTTCTGAGCACCATTTAAACCCACCATTTGAAATCATGCGCAATAAACCATTTATTCATGAGTACGATCCTTCTGGTGTCCAATTTCTCACATATGTGATTATATTTCAAAAATACAACTTGAACTATTTTCATGGTAATGTAACATTTCAATATTGTGAATGTTTCAAAAACAAAGGAAAAATGCTGTGTTGGACCATTTGAGGATTCACACATATATCTGGGTTGCAGATCTAATTTCTGAAATATTTCATTATTGTAATAGACACTCCAAATTAGCAAGTATTTTTCTGTGGGAGAAAATCAAAGCCATATCAGTTAGCACTAATGAGAAAGGAACTCAAAATAGCTTGACAATTAAATAATTCAAATGTTATGTAAAAGCCAAATTTATTTAAAACTAATTTTCCCCAATAACTTACTATACTTTTCATTTTATAAAACATCCTACAAATGATTTCATGGGACTTCACTCCTATGCCTTAATACTTAGGAATAAAATATTGTGCCCAAGTAAGGTATAAGAAAGGATTATGTCATTTAATCTAAGAACTTTAATGATTAAAATAAATATTTTAGATTTTTCTTTACAGGTTCATTCTTTCCTTGTTAATAAATCATGTCCTTTAGGGAGACATATATTAATTCTTTAAGTTTACTAGTTGATTACTACTTCAAGTCACTTATTCTAGCCATGTCTACTAAAGTTTGCATTTTTATTGCAACAAGGTAGATTAAAGGACATGAAGATGAGCTAATTAAAGCATTTACTATCTGTTTCAGTAGCCCTCATAATCTTAGCTGAAGCTCTTGGAACTCTGGTAAGAAAAAAAAAAAAGGAAGATAAAGAGAAGTTTTTATGTTACACAGAGTTCATAGATTCTCCTGTTGGAGGTGATCTCAGAAATCTCTTCTTCCTGAATCTCCTTTACACATTTTTCAATGAATGTTTGCCTCTACTTTAATTCTTTTTGTGAAGACAATTCACCTCACAAAGCCCCATCTTTCATTATCTGTTAGCTTTCACTGTTAGGGTATTTTTTCCCTATATTTTCCAAATGTCAAAGTTCTGTTCTCCGGGACCCCACAGCAGAAGCCATTCCCCTTTTTTATCTGACAGCCTGTCGTGTATATGAAGACTGTTGGCATAACCTTTAGACATGGTTTTATACGTGACCTCATAGGCGATTCTTTAAAGGATTTGCCATTACAGGCAGGGGTGGCGAGGTGAAGAGAGTTGCTGATGATTTGAAGGTGCTTTGGGACCTGGTTGCTATCAGGTTAGAGGCAGTGGGTAAAGAAGAGGGTGGTGCTGCCAGGCATGGGACCCTGGCGCATCATCCCTGAACTATACCCCTGTGTCCTGTTCTCTCTGGATTCTCTCTTGTTCCATTTGTAGACAAAGTGGGTGCACGTGAATCTCTGAGAAATGGAAAAACAAATACTCCGATAGCCTCAGAATTGGATTAAGAAGGGCTGGCAAGAGGGAGAAAGGAGAATAATGGAAGGAAGAAGTGAGTGGAACTTAAGGGAGAGAATCTATCCTATAACAGAATTGAATGAATACAGCCCACTATTAGCTAAATAATTGGAATCAGATTAATTTAAGTGGTTTATATTGAAGATTGATCATTTTCAATACACAGATGTTTCAACAAAGCAAACTTAACTGCTTCAACTACATTTTCTTGCCTGTGTTACTATATCAAGTCATTCATTTGAGAAACATTGGCGAGACACTTAGAAGAAATATTTTGCCATTTCAGGTGAAGGTAAGGAGACATTTTTAAAAAATGAATACACTGGCACCTCTGCTCTTGAGGTGCTCACAGTCTATTTTGGGCAGCCAATAGAGATAGATGAATTATAATATCATGGGGTAATAATATTACAGAGATATGAAAAAAGCACTGTGGGAGCAGAGAGACCAGTGCAAAGCATTTTTCCAACAGTGCCAAAGAAGTTTCACTGGGAACCTAACATTATAATACTGTTCTCAGTATTAAGTGATGGATTGCAGTTTATTAAATTAAAAAATGGGGTGGGAGGAAGTTTTTAGGAAGTGTGGTGGTGGGGGCAGGGGGAACTTATGCATGGGCAGCACTATGAAAAAATCTGGTGTGTCCAAGACCCAAGAAAAATCTGGTGAGGCAGGAGAGGGAGAAGGGAAAGATGATTAGAACGGTAAGGTCAAATGATTTGCGAAGAGCTTTGCTTGCCAAAGTAAAAAGTTGGAATCTTTATTCAATAACCTACAAGAAATGAGAGGTTTTGGAGGTTTTAAATTTGGGAGTGAGATGATCAGCTTTATTTTCTAAATTAAAAAAAAAATTAATGAAGATTTCTTTGGAAACAATGTAAGAAATTTAAGTGGAAAAAAATCAAACTATTGTAACAGGTCTGGGGAGACGATGCAAGTTTGAATTGAAAAGCAGTGGCAGAAAAAATGGAAAAAGAATAGATTTCAAGAATCATTCTGAGACATAACTTAGATTTGGTGTCCATCTGGATATGATGGTGATAAGAAAGAAAGATAAATGAGCTTGTTCAGGCTTCTCAATGGGAGACTGTGTAGAGGGTTGCAGTCTTATGGTTAAGATTATAAGAAGCTAAAGTTTTTTAAGAAATTACGTATGAGGTATCTATGTATATCCAGGTATGTATATGGGTGTGTTTCCTTCTGGGTCCATGGGAGGACTCTGACAGTTCACTGGGCAGGTCCTTGGGTGGGCAAGATTGGTCCCAGGCTTGCAGCTGAGAGGAGCTAGAACTGAGTCACAGGAGTGTTTCAAAATCCACAGCTGGACGGAGGTTAGTGGGCCTGCCTTCAGAAGCATAGCCGGGTGTATCTCCCACCAGTTTCCTGGCCAGACTGGACTGCTTCTGGTTTGAAGCTGAGAGGGGCTGCAGCTGTATCACTGAACCACTTTAGGATCCACAGTCAGACCAGGGTTGGTGGACTGCCTCTGGCAACACTGATGGGCATTTCTCCCTACCGGGGTCTGGGCAGGCATGACTGCTTCTGGACCATGGCTTTGATGGGTGGAGTCAGAGTATGGGGTTACTCCAAGATCTGCAGCTGGATGATGTTGGTGAACTTGCCCCACAGTCTTGGATGGGCATGTCTCCCTCCGGGTTCCTGGGTGGTTAGGAGTGGCAGTTAAATGGGGCTGAAGCCAGGTAGGTCATCTGCTGCTTCAGGGTCCTCCGCCTGGACTGAGATCAGTGGGCACAGGTGGTTGTGACTCCTCCCAGGTCCCTTGGTGGAAGGTGCTGATGGCAGGAGCAAGGTGAAACAGGGCTATATTCAAGTCCAGAAAGGGACAGGGCTGTTTCTGGGTCTGTAACCAGGACCAGAGTTGGTGGCTCTGCCTGGGCACAGGCCTGCCTTCTTAAAATGGCCCTGCTTGGTCTTGGGCTCCACCAGAATTTCATAGTCTCCTACATGGACCCCATAACTTCCACAAAGGCACTTTGTCTATGGCTCCCAAACCTTTGCTGCTGAGTAGGGATGTGAGCAAGGGACCTCCTATTGTGCCATGTTGCTGATGGCACACACACTCACACTTCTCTTTGATTAACACTGCACAATCATTTATTTTATTTATTATGGTTTCCATATAAAGATGATTTTTCGACCATTTTCTAATTTATGGATGGTTTATTGGTATGGTCATATCAACTATTGTTAATTATGTGATTTGACCACAGTTTCTATTGTAGTTTTATGTTTGCCTCCTTCTGGGCTGTGTCTGAAGTGGTGGGCACAAAGATGGCAGTGATCACGTTGGGCTTGCTTTCTGGTGGCTTGATTAGGGGTTGTATGCAGATTCTGTTTGATAAATAACTGAGGAGAAAATATGCACATTTAACAGCCAGTCTGTGATTATTTTGCCTCGAATACCTCCATTAGAGAAAAATACATCTTTGAAAAGTAAAACCATTCCAAATTTCCTTATGAAGCATTCATAGTCTTCCTTAAACTCATAACATCTTGTAAAAGATTAGAAGTTCTGCTAGGTCTATATTATTTCTTATGATTTGGTTTAGAAGTAGAAAACTATCATTTAATAACATCTGAGCCAATATGATGTTAAGAGTTAATGCTTTAAAAGATTTACCACTGATTAACAATGGAACAATTGTTATGTTTTTGGAGTTGACAGTGGGATATTGAAGGAATCTTACTCTTGAGGGAAAAATTATAATCATCTGGAAATACATGTAGTCACGCGCCACATAAAGACATTTCCGTCAAGAACGGACCACATATATGCCAGTGGTCTCATAAGATTATAATGGAGCCAAAAGCTTTCTATTGCCTAGTGACATCATAGCCGTGATAACATTGTAGTGGAACACATCGCTCATGTGTCTGTGGTGATACTGGTGTAAACAAACCCTCTGCACTGCCAGCAGTATTAAAATATAGCACGTACTATTATGTACAATACACAATACTTGATAATGACA